CCCCAAAACCCCAAAACCCCTTTATACAAAAATTAAGAAATATTTGCATTAAAATAATGAAATTAAAAAATTAGAAAAAATTATAAAGGCATCACATCACTTCTTTCTTATTATATTTATAATTTCAGGGGAAGTCATAAATTAAATCAACAACATGAATATTCTGATTTCGATTAAACAATTTAAAATCATATTTCAAATCTTTTACCCTAAAGACTAATGTCTTTTCTCTGTTTTACAAAAATCCATTATAATCTAATGCAATTTCCTCGAAATTAGAATGTCTAATTTCTAATTCTTCAATAAAGCAAGAATCACTTGATAAAAATGTATCCAGCCTCCTAAGAGAAACAAGATCCTTTTCTTAAACTAATTTATCATCAATAAATATGTTAAGGATTCTTAATGATCTTAACTTATCAAGGCAATTATCTGCAAGCATGTCAATTTCATTGCAATCAAAAATTTTAACATTTAACTTTAAATCTCTCAACTCTCTATAATATTTTAGATATTTGAATATCTTAAGCTAATTTTGATACTGGGGATTAATCTTCTAATCGTTTTTTAATTTCTTCTCTAAATCTTCAGAGACAAATTTACTGGATTTTTTTAATTAATTTAAATGCTTTGTTTAAATTAAAGTCTCGTACTTTGCATATTCAAATTTGAAAGCTGTCTTTTCAATATAATAATCTGGTTTCACCTAAAGATTTAGATGTCTCAAGCTGTGCTTACACTTTCTCAAGTTTATTAGTACTCTTTTAATGATTTTCATGTTTATTCTGCAATTACTTAAGTCTAACGATGAAATACTATTTGGGAGATTTTGCTCAATATATTGATATAATCTGATACACCCATTTTCAAGAATCCTTAATTTTTCTACTGATGAACTTAAATAATTAGAGTTAGGAATCTTAAATTAAATGTTTAAGTCAGTAGCAACAGTTATGAAGTTAACTTTCAAGGAATTTAGATTAGGAAAAACTTTTGCTAGGCCAAATGCAACAAAATTTTCTGTAGATTCGTTGTATAAATTGAATTTAATGTCAAGTGATTAAGTAATACTTTTAATGTCAAATTCATCGAGTGGCTTATTATATTGGTAATTGATCTATAACTTTAAGTCCAGTACTTTCATCGACATAATCTAAATCAGATCAGAAAAAGTTTTCTGACTAAATATTTACATGAGAACCTAATATTCTAAGTACTCTAGTTGTCTATTCTGTAGGAAACTCTGAATTCCACTGATATATTTTAATCCCTATAATTAATATTTTCTAAAGTGTTCGCTCATATTTGAAGTGTTCCTTTCTGTTATAATAGAAAGTCTTTTAATTTTCTATGATTCTAATTCGAGTAAAAAACAGTCAACATCTAGGTCTTAATTACAATGTAGCTTGAGATCTATTATCTATGATTGATTGATGAAAGTTGCTATTGTTTATTATTAATCAAATATCTCCGCTTCTTTTATCATCAATTTCTTGATTTAGAATGGATTGAGGTCGAATAAGAGGAATTCTAATAACAGTGAAGATACTTTGATTAATTTGAGAGAAGTCAAGCTTCTAGGCATTTACATCTCTTTATAAGGATAATGCGAATCTTAAAGGCTGGATCAATTCTTTTAGATAGTTAAGCTTCTTAAGTGAGTTAAATCTTTGAGAAAATGTAGGCTTGCGAAAGCATCTTCTTATATATGTAACTTCTAAATTCTTGTTAACTGACAGTCGAATCTATAATTTTCCGTAAACACAGAATCTTAGTATATCTTATCAAGTACCAAATTATGCTTTATAAGATAGCCTTCTAGATCTTAAACTCCGTTTGCAGCATCAATGTGCGTTAAGCAATTTTAAATAACTGGAATAAGGGATTCAATTCGCTTACCCGTTCTTTCAGCAAGTCGCTATTTAATGATTCCCTTCACATACCTTTTACCAATATTGTTGTTTATTTACTTAAGCATCTTGATTAGAAACATTCTAGCTTGCTTATTTGTTCTCCAAAGTAATCTCTTTGTTTCATTGATTCCATTTGATCCCAGAATGTCTATGAATATGTACTTGTTTAGTACCTTTCCCAGTTTAAACATGCTATTTTCCATTATTAGTACCTAAAGCTAAAATAATTAATTATAGTTATAGACATTTACCCTTTAATAATCATATTATTCTGACAAATTCTATATATTTTTGAAATTCACTATATTTATACTTAATGGGGTTTTGGGGTTTTGGGG